TCGGTAATAAGAAACTGGTGTAACCCAAATTCTCTCTCTCTCTCTCTCTCTCTTTCTTTTTTCTCCCCTTTTTCTAAATAATACCATCAAAAAAACAATATTTATTTTTATGGTTAAAATAGTATCGCATTGTTAATATATTATACATGTATGAATTTACGAATCAAAAATAATTTTAACCAAGTATTAAATTTAATAAGGGAGAAAAGAGTGAGTTCAAATTTTAATATAGATATCTGAAAATAATCTCTCAATATTTATCAGAGATTACATCTGTCGTTCAAAATTTGAACTTGCTGTATATGTATTTAAATGCCTGGCATGAAAACACAGTGATTGGCAAAAGATACGTTTACCCACAAATCTAAAAGCAACTAAAATAATTATAACATTCTAAGTTCACAGTAAAAAAAAAATAAATAAATAAATAAAAATTAATTAAAAATATAAATTATGTTATAAAAGACGATTAATATTATAATTAAATAAAATCAAAGCAATCGATACTATGTTTAATCAACATTAAGGAACACTTTGATCATCATATATTTAGAGGCCCTTCAGAAAGGATCTAAGGAGAGAGAAAGATAAAAGACAAGATTAGAAAGATAGAGTGTAGCTCGGTAATAAGAAACTGGTGTAACCCAAATTTCGCCTTTCGCGCGATCCCTCGTGAATGGATACCCCTCTTCCTTCACGTCCCTCCCATCTCATCTTCATCCTTATCCTCCCCTTTTCTCCGGAATACTCGTTCCCCCGGCGAGTCCTTTCGAGACGAAGAAACGCTCCAGGCGTTTCGCTTCAGTAACCGCGGTCTTGGTTCAGCTCCTCCCGGATTCCTTTGTTTAATGCCTTATTGCGATATTTTAACGCCATTGCACTGTTGCCATGCGCCGAGCCGAGCCGAGTCGAGCCAAGCCGAATCGCGTCTCTTCCGGAGATTTCAATTAACCGAGATTAAACGAAACTGGTTTTGTTAATGGTTTATTACTAGAAAGTTGTAAGCCAAGCGATAATCAACCAATAAAAGTAAAGAAATTTGAGTTAATAATACAAGTCCTCAGTTATAGCGTCAATTAATTATAACGTCAGAATTAAACGCGAGTAATTTTTGTAATTTGTATTCAAAATAATAATTTTTCGAAATATTGTTTCAATTGAATAGAGTGAATTTGTAAAATGCATGAAATATATTTTGCTATCAATCCAATGTGTTGCAAAATGACCGAACATGTGATAACAGGTGCTATGTATGTATAAGTAGAATCGTAAATTTAAACGTATATTTTTTTTTAGAAAATTACGGTACATTTATAGATAATATGTACATGTCATTAAATAATCGATATCGGAATTCCTATTAAAATATACAAATTTATTGCTTATTAAACTGGAGCAATTTCGTTGAAGGAAACATAAGATCTTTAAAATCGCCAAAAAAAATCGATTTTTCTATTTTCATGATTTTTTCCAGGGTAATTTTTGTACGTAATTAATGTAAAATAATAAATACATCTGTGCCCGGCAAAAAAAAATATATATGTTATAGTCCGATAAATTATGCGATTACTAATCCCAGTACCAAAGCAGATACAACGCGCGGTGAACATACAGCTGTGCCGTCATCACAGATTTATACAGAATGTTGTTTAAGATACGAAGAGTAAAGTTATGTCGGACTATGCATCGTGTCAACGATGCGTCAGAGCGTGACAGAATCACCGACGTATTTCTGGGATGCTGCGCGACCAACCGCGTTCTTTACTACTAGCCGCGAAGTATCTTTCCCGAGTGCCGGCACAAACGTCGTCAATTTTAGATGTACGTCGCGTGAGTCTATATGCGAATAACGCGTTATTTCCGCGCGTTATTCCCGAATCGAGACGATTGTAGGAACGCGAGACGGGATAGAGAGGATCTTTAATGCAGCGGATGTTGCATTCTCCTCTGAAGTTTCACCGCGCCATAGATATACTGACCTTTACAAATACCCTACTACTTTTCAAATCCGCCTGAAGCGAGAAAAGATTAATACGTTCTATCAATTGCTACGATTTGTATATAGCAATACAAAATTGGAATTTTAAAATGTGGCTATGTCTATTGTTTAATAAATAATTAAGATTTTGAGATTAAGCAAATTCCAGAAACGATGAAATAGATATCCAGGAGACATTGAGAATTTATCATTCAATGAATTAATGATTTAAGTTAATTTAAATTAATTTAAAGCATCTATTGTAAATCTTGTACTCTAAATGTCCCTTTTATCATTTAGAAAAAAAATTATTTGCGTTATATATATTATGAATAGAATCAAAGCAATAATTAGCGTTTCTTCGTTTATTTTCTTATCTATTCTCATCTAATCTTGAAACGAAATTGCGTCTGTCTTCAAATCACTTGTGATAAAAAAAACTATTAATGTTGAAACAATATTGTTAAGAATTTAAATTTCTCTAAAAACTTTGCGGTGTTAAAAATTTATGTCATTCTATATCGAAATCCAGGTGTAGCGCAGCTTCTACACGGAATTCAACGGCGCGAATCGGGACAGGATTTACGTAATTTTCAAATTCCTTTGCGTAAAAGCGCGGAAGAAAGATTACGTCGGCGCGGCGGATGGCGACAATAATCGCACACTTCCTAACGGGTAGACATATTTTGCGCGGACGACAATACGGTAGTTTCGCGAGAGGGGAGAGATTTCCGGACTCCTTTCGCGATGAATGATGGACGCAACGCCGCTGGGAAAACGTCTCTCGCCCGACGACAATGGTCGGCCATGCGCCCATTGCTCGATTAGTTTTCTTCTTCTTTCTTGCTTTTTTACTAAGAAGAGAAAATGTTGAATCTCGTCGTCTTATATGCGCGCAATATTCAGTTGCGATTTCTATACAAGTTACATGAGATGATATCATCCATGATCGACGAGCACTAATTTCGAGACAACGTCGGATACTCGATATTAATTACAAAAAGCTCTAAAAATCTATAAAAATAAGTAATAAAAACGAGCGAGATAATTGAATATGTCGGGAAAATGGGACAACGTAATGAATTGGCAATAATAATAAATTAATAGATATTGCCACGTAATTAAAATAGTATAAAATGATAAATTATTTCAATATTCATTGCAAAATTACAAAAAAAGATTCTAGTTATTAATTTCGTCATTAGAAACCTATTCCGTTATTTATTCAAAAATCTCAATTATTTCTCAATTCGATCTGAAGAGCATATAAAATTATTTAGTAGCGTTTTCGGAATTCTTAATAGATAGCGTTTTCTTTTAAGGATTACTATAAGGATAAATATATCTTTCTATCATTATTCGCGGTTTAATCGATTGCGGGTGGTCTGCGACTTACCAGCCAAGACTCACGCGAAAGCTTATTGGTCGGACTCCTAATATGCAGTCCGAGGTTCTCCTCCTTGGGAACACTATGAATCACTGTGAATCACTGAGTCACCAACTAAGACGCGAAAAATCAATCGAAGGAAAAACGTCCTGACGGCGAGAGAGAAGACGGCCGACCGTGCAAACGGATGACAAGCGAGCGAATGATTGGAAGAGCCGCCAGGCATCGACTTGGCTCGCCCGAGGACGAAGGAAGAGGCTAAGAGAAGTATTCAGGTCCGCGTTATACGTTCGGTAAACCTTTCTTCAACGCCATAAAAAAAGAAAGAAAACCGCGCGAGACGTAGCGATCGATGGCGAGAAGAAAAAAATGTTACACACAGTATCTGTGAGATTTAGCGCTTTATAGTTGAGATGAGAAAGACGATTCAATTATGATATCATTGTCCGAGCGAAATTCGCAAGATTCGAAAAAGGATTTTGTGCTAAAAGTTATCGATATTCGAAAAAAAAAATTTGCATACTGAAAGAGTTATAGCTAATTTCCAAATGAATAAAACGAGAGCATCGAATCAACGTGATTCTACAAAGATTCATGACTAACAATAAAAAAAGTTTAATGTATTATTATAACTATTAATATCGTTTAAACGCGGGAAAATTTGTCAACATTTCTTTACTCTCTCGGTGAAGATAATAAAAATATCTCTATGTCACAGCTGTGTGTGCATCTGCACGAAATCGTGGTAACAAACGCGGGAAAATTTGTCAACATTTCTTTACTCTCTCGGTGAAGATAATAAAAATATCTCTATGTCACAGCTGTGTGCATCTGCACGAAATCGTGGTAATTTCTCGCTCACCTGCTGCTTCAGCTGTCCCTTCTCGCTTTCTCATCTCTCCTTGTAAAAAAGTAGCTCAATCTACGAGAAACGGATCGGTCACTGAATAGTTCGGCTAAACAATGGGATTACCGAAGTTATTTTCTGCATGCCTTGCCAAAAATGTCGTTATCGATTGACGGACAAGCGCGTCGTAAAAGGCTACGCAAATTTTATGTCGCGTCCGTCCCGGAAATCAGGGAAGCAGAGCATGACAAGTAAAGACCACGAGGAGAAGATCGACTAGATTAGAAAGAGATTCGTCTTTTCTAGCGCATATTTCACGACGAGACCACATCGTTTTTCTTAACTTCTCGAATATCGTTCTATCTTTACGGGCGATACGATAATGGAAATAACTCGACTTGGATTTCCTGCACTTATCGAACGACAATATTGGATCAGTTTTCTCCTCGCTATTTATGATAATAAAAAGTTCCTTTCGCAAAAAATATTCTTCTGATTTTTTTCCAAGGTTTTACAATTTAAAAATTACCAATTTGCGTGTTATCGTGTTATATTAGCACATGAAAAAACTCTATATATAATATATTATACATTTGTTTTTTTTTTAAACAATTGGTGGTATAATCGAAAAGATGATTCTATGAAAAAGTTATCAAAATTATCTCAACAGTGGCTATTAAAATATATATATAGCTGTTATAATGTAGCACCAAATTTTGATTATCGAACGCTTGCGTGCAGCGAGACTTATTACGATTTATGTTATTGATAACGAAAAAAAAACTTACGTGGATTCTGCAACACCTGCCGGTAAACGCGAAGCGCCGCGGTCCTCTGATCAACGTAGTCCCACAATCCGTCGCAAGCGATTATAAGAAAATCCTCGGTACCGTCCAGAGACACGCATCGAACCTCAGGCTCACCGCTAACATACGGTTTATACGGGACATCGCCTGGAAAAAAAAAGAAAAATTAAGAAAGAGCGACCGTTCTCTTCGTTGTTTCAAGTAGATGTTACAAGCGCAAGCGCGAAAAGCGGAAAGGAATGCTCGACTCCGAAAGTATATGTGTATTAAGGAGGAATCAGCTGGACGGATCAGCTATGTTAGAAGTTAATAAATATAATACATTTCGAGATTCATGAATTTGACATTGCACAAAAAGCACACTCTTAGCCTTTTAAAATATAAAATTAATAATTAATTTGTGAGTTGAAAAGTAAAGATTTGCCTTATAAAATATAATTTAATCCCAAAATTATAAATATTCTGTTTTATCGAACTAACTTCTTTATAGTGACTGTAAACAAAAATTCATGAAAATAAAGATTTAGAGAATCTTTACTTCAATTCACAAATTAATTATTAATTTTATATTTTAAAAAGTTAAAAAAGTGTTTTGTATGTGTGTGCGCAGTATCATATTCATAAATCTTAAAATGTATTAGATTTATTAATTTTTGATGTAGTTGATCCATCCAGTTCTTTCTTAAGATCGTAGCCGAGGTAACTGTTTACCTCGGTTTATATTCATCGCTAGAGCCGTAATTCAGATATTTTACACGTAAAAAACATGCCACGCAGCGCGCAATTAGTTATAATTAACTGTTTAATGAATAGCGCGGCTAATTTAAATAACGACGCCACCGCAACGTGCTTCCGGTTATTATGAATCTGAACTAGCCGCTTCTTTTCTCTTCCTCGCCTTCACAAAACTACATACATACACATGGAAACAGTTTATTATCGTAACCGAAAGTATTACCTCATTCGCCGTAATCAAATTAATTTTTTTCTAATTAACTTTCCGAAATTTTTATTTCACTTGGGATATACGCTGTACCAACAAGAGGTGAGAGTTAACTTTGTTTAATAAAACTCTCGAGGAAAAAGCATGCCATTACTGGCCGAGATTACATAATTCACGCCGTTGAATCTCATTTTATATAAGGCCTCATATTTGATAAAGAATTTAAAAAAAACTCGATAATTGAAATTATATATATACGATAAGAATTCTCTGCGTGGCAAAGGTCACTTTTCATCTAAACGTCAACAATAAATTGAAATTTATGAACGTACGAATATCGACCCCGCCTCTTTGCACGTTTCTATATGCTAAGGATGGAAACAGAAATAGTCTTTTTAATTGTATTCCGGATATGCGAGCCACTCGGTGGAGCGCTCCCGGAGCGTAACTGCACGTACTATTGTGTCAGCAGGCAAACGGAACCAACAGGATACCCGACGCACGCGGCCAGAATTTTTTCTAGCTCCTCTTTGCACTTACATACAAACGTCGCGTCTCAAGCCGTAATTGGGCACCCGTTGCCCGTCCTTACTTGGCTCGCGTTTCGACGCGACCAGCAGCAAATATTTCAATCGACGATTCGAATTCTCCATGGATACGAAAAAAAGAATGCACCTCGTGTCAATAATCGCGTTCCCGTCATTGCTAATCTCCGTTCAACGGAAATTTCGAATTGCCGATCTCGTTTTCTCGACAGTCGAATTCACATCTTGCTTCAAATACAGAAAGGAAGAAAAATTCATAAATCGTAAAAAAAAAAAAAAAAAAAAAAAAGAAAAAAAAAAAAGAAAACAACGGAGATAATGGAGATTAAAAGCGCTTTTGTACATAATATTTACTGGATATCCTAGCAATGAATATGAGCGTTCAATTGGAGATTTTTTTCCTCAGTTTTGTGATTCTCATTTATACATACAAAGTCTTCGTCTTTGATACTTGTCTAATACACTTTCTTGAAAATTAGAGACGATTGATCTTGAGAATTTGAAAAAGTTAACTTCAGGTTACTCACCCCTCAGGTTCTTAAAAAAGCGAGTTATATTGTTGATCTAACTTTAGATCTAACTTTATATTAAACGTCTCACGTGCAATTTTATCAATACCTCTTCGATAAGTCGATAATTATTTGCCAAGACGAAATTTGCTAAGAAATAGATATCGGTTCTTATTCGCGGTTTCCTATGAAGTGTCACGATTATCCGATCATACTACGTCACGAACGTCCGTTATATCGCTGTCTCCATCTGTACATTTGTACATTAATTTCGTACCGCATCTTCCGCAACGCCGCAAAGACCGGCCGGTAAATCGGTGATAAAAACCTTATCGAAAGAATCTGATAGAGCAGAAAAATACTATATATATATATATATTCTTCCGTAAACGTTTTCATTACACGGTTACTGCAATGTTTTTACGTGAAACAAAAAAAAATAAAAATATGAAACTTATATTATCGTAATAAAAGAAACAGATATGCTCGTCGCAACGACTTACCTATGGCTCGAGATATGCTGAGGAATCCGTTTACACGCAGGACCCCCATACAATGAACAACGACTCCTCCCATATTGCGAATTCGTTCGCTTTCATCCTAAGGGAAAAAAATAGATCGTGAAAAATAGGACACGTCGTTGATATCTTGGCTCCATAAATCTCGCGCGTGACATTGTCAATAAAAATTGTCGTTGCGCGAGCGTAACATTCTCGCGATCACATACAGGCGTCAAATATGTCGATACTTCGATATTCTCGCTTGGATATGCATTTTGCGCGTCTCGATTGTTTATATAGGACAAGGTATTTTAAATACGTTACACGATGACACACAATGTAAAATTACTGGTTTAAGAATCTATCTCTTTCTCAATATGACAATCATCGGGACGCAGACCGACAGTGATAGAAGACTGCTGGATTTTGAAAATTACGAGGAATATTTAGACTCGCTGGTGAGTCCGGTAGACATCTACTATGTTCGAAGCAGTAAAACCGCGCGGCAATTGGCCGAGCTCGGTTACCGCTGTACCGGCGAGATTCTAAGCGAAAGGAGCTTTTATCGTCGCTTACGAATCGTGAAAAATCTGCTGTTTCCCGTTCATCGGCCTTACGTACTCACTTGCGAATATATAACGCCCGCCGGTAGGTTAATGGAAGAACTTAGTCTACGCGAGCGATCCAACAGATTGGGTTATTTGTCAACTATCGTGTTCGTCCGTCACTTTGCAACGAAACTGCGACAATTCGAGGAATCGGCGTACATTGATTTCGGCGACCGACTCAAGTCGGAAAATTGGTTGCCGTATTATCGCGGCGAGAAAAAATTGTCGCCGTTCAAACGAGATCTCGCGTATTATCACTGGAGAACGGGAAGGACGTCCTTGAATGAAACCCGCAATTACGTACCGATTGTAGATCCCAAACATGGCTTGGTGTTTAAAAATATTCACGACAGACAGGTAATCACTGTTGATTCGACTGCCGCATCACCCGGTGTAGACACAACGAGAGTACGGATACATTGCCCATTTTACGAGCATGTGATATTATACGATCATGTGATCAGAAGCAAAATCATCCTTGAAAATTAGAGGCGTCAATAGCATTCGGTTTTATTGTGCTGATTAGATGTTTCGCGAATCACAAAATTAAAAAGAAAAAAATGTAAAAAAAAACAGCGGCAATTAAAAAGAATTTTAATAAACAAAAAAGTTAAATTTGTAACTTCAAATTTGTGTGTTTCAAAAAAGATTTACGTTTTTTTATCTTATTCTATTATATTAAAATAGAAATCCAGATTACTTACTTCTCGTGAGGGTCGATGAGGGTTCACCAATTGTTTCACGTTACCGCCCGTGACCAGGGAAGCCATACTGTCGCCGACCCAAGCGATGTACAACTTTTTATTTAACAGCAATGCGCATACCACGGTAGTTCCGCCGTTTAATTTCTGTAGCAAACGATAATGATCAGTAGAGATCATCGGATATCAAAACACGAGGAGCAAATAAAATATTTACACTGTGTATGTACGAGAAATATTTACCTGCGTACTCGATTTTGCTATGAATTGCGCGTCAGTAGTCAGGAAGGCGTCGCGCAACGCGCTTTCCGGATCCGTAGGATAGTAAACACTCTCGACCAAATATTGGTGCAGATGTGTTGCGCAATACGTCGCAGCATCTTGTCCGCCGTGGCCATCAAACACTGCGTAATAATTCACAATCGTGTCGTCCTGCAATAAACAATATCAATTAGTATATATTCTAGAGTGAATCAAAAAGTAATGTTCCCTGTTTTATTACGACTTTTATCTATCACTCTTATACATTTAGTATAATAATTTCAGACTTTAATTTTAATTGTCGCGAAACTTTTTGCGAAATCTCCTTACCTGAATATTAAAAATAGTGTGCAAATCATGTAGGACCATATGACGGTCCTCCATTTTTCTCCTAGCATTCCTAGTGGCACCCACTGTCACGTGCGGCGTCGACGAAGGTGGCGGCAGAAGTGCCAGTCTGCTGTTGTCTAAATATCGCCTGCAGATCTCGTTTACCTCGTTCGTGACAGCCTGCATGAGCTTTAAAGGTGCGTATGCTGCAAAAAAAATTTGATGATTAAAAATATTGGATATAAGTTATTTTGTTTCGATTATCTCTTATAAGCTGTTTAATCGAACATGAGTCCATTTTCGAAAATCTTTCCAAATTGGATACATGTATCTCTGGATTCTATGTTCATTACCAATCCCATTAAGATCTTATTGTTAGTGTTAAGAAAATGGACTCGCATATCACTTTCGAGATGGGCGACTCGTGTTTCGCGCCTTCAGCGCATATTTCTCGACTGATTCTCTTGTAATTATTTCATACGTTTATTTGTCAAAGAATTTCTTTTCTCATTAATATGTAAATGTGTGTGTGTGTGTGTGAATAAAAATATATTTTAATTTCTTAATATATAAATAAATGATTAAAAATAAACTTACTCTTCTCTTGTGGTCTCAATCCGCAAATTTCGGGTTGCTTCTTGCGTGTTGATTTGATTGCTTCTATCACGAGATGCACGATATAGGATTGTAAACTCGGCGGACAATATCTGAAATCAATCCCATGTATGTTTACGTTTATCCTGTTATCCTTTTTATTTTCTAAAACTGTTTATCGAGTATCGTATATAATGCTTAAATAAACTCTATGAACGTACTCTTTTTAATCAACTCGGTATCGATTTTTCTTGTTGAATACAAAGTTTGTAGTTTTATAACAATTATAAGTAATTAAAAATTAGAACAATTTTACGCAAATTTAAACTTCCTAGAGAGACTGAGAAGTAAAAGCAAATAATGAATATATTCTGCATCTTTAAAATTATAATAAGTATGCATCTTTGATGGAAAACCTACTTTTCTTTTTCTTAATTACATCGCGTTCTCTCTCTCTCTCTCTCGCTCTCTCTTTGTATTTAAAATAAAATAAGCAGATACTCAATTTTTAAAAGAGAAAAAAAGAAAAGAAAAGAAAATCATAACAGAAAGCGTGGAAAGAGTACGACTGAAAGAATCAAACTTAAGTATTCGAAACCTATGAGAAAATTCCGTGTTCGCTCCGCCATCTCTCGTTTATCGTTTATCTTTCATCGTTTATCCTTTTCGTTCAGAGCGTGACAACGACGACGATGAACGGTGATAGCCTCGTGATGATTTCACTTGCAGCAAATAAACGCATCGACGGCGCGGAAGTAGTTTTCATTACACGATCCCGCCGTTTCTTCTGCGTCTTTTCGCGAAATTTGCAGTTTTCAAAAGAACAAATACATATACGTATGTACTCATGAAGAGAGTACACACCCGCCAAGTAAAATTCCATCCTTGTGCATCCTTTTCCCTTTCGCGTGATACGCTGAGCAGTTATGCGTAACTTTTTTGCGTGTTAACTTCTTCACGCATGCACACGAGATATTCTCGTTGTTTTAAAAGCACTGGAACATTTCTGTATTAGAACTACAATACAAATTCGTGTTTACTCGAACTGAAAAGAAAAAATATTCGTAACTCTTTGCGTGTTTTTTTTTTTCCTTTATAAAAATAGGCTACTAGTGGTCTCAATCCGCAAATTTCGGGTTGCTTCTTGCGTGTTGATTTGATTGCTTCTATCACGAGATGCACGATATAGGATTGTAAACTCGGCGGACAATATCTGAAATCAATCCCATGTATGTTTACGTTTATCCTGTTATCCTTTTTATTTTCTAAAACTGTTTATCGAGTATCGTATATAATGCTTAAATAAACTCTATGAACGTACTCTTTTTAATCAACTCGGTATCGATTTTTCTTGTTGAATACAAAGTTTGTAGTTTTATAACAATTATAAGTAATTAAAAATTAGAACAATTTTACGCAAATTTAAACTTCCTAGAGAGACTGAGAAGTAAAAGCAAATAATGAATATATTCTGCATCTTTAAAATTATAATAAGTATGCATCTTTGATGGAAAACCTACTTTTCTTTTACATCGCTACATCGCGTTCTCTCTCTCTCTCTCTCGCTCTCTCTTTGTATTTAAAATAAAATAAGCAGATACTCAATTTTTAAAAGAGAAAAAAAGAAAAGAAAAGAAAATCATAACAGAAAGTGTGGAAAGAGTACGACTGAAAGAAGCAAACTTAAGTATTCGAGGCCTATGAGAAAATTCCGTGTTCGCTCCGCCATCTCTCGTTTATCGTTTATCTTTCATCGTTTATCCTTTTCGTTCAGAGCGTGACAACGACGACGATGAACGGTGATAGCCTCGTGATGATTTCACTTGCAGCAAATAAACGCATCGACGGCGCGGAAGTAGTTTTCATTACACGATCCCGCCGTTTCTTCTGCGTCTTTTCGCGAAATTTGCAGTTTTCAAAAGAACAAATACATATACGTATGTACTCATGAAGAGAGTACACACCCGCCAAGTAAAATTCCATCCTTGTGCATCCTTTTCCCTTTCGCGTGATACGCTGAGCAGTTATGCGTAACTTTTTTGCGTGTTAACTTCTTCACGCATGCACACGAGATATTCTCGTTGTTTTAAAAGCACTGGAACATTTCTGTATTAGAACTACAATACAAATTCGTGTTTACTCGAACTGAAAAGAAAAAATATTCGTAACTCTTTGCGTGTTTTTTTTTTCCTTTTTCTTTTTCCTTTATAAAAATAGGCTACTATAAATATTAAGTATGTTATTTTTAAATAGTATTTTCGCATTCGCTCCAATAAATCGTATAAAAAATAAAAAAATCGAGTTAACTGAAGATATTATCTAATTAAAAAAAGGGTATTGTTTCTTATAATTAGACGATGAATCGACGAAGAAAAATAGATTGTCTGATCGGGAAACGTTTTGAAAAACGATATCGCCAAATTATTTCGAACAATATTCTTGTCATTACTTTTGCGTTTATTTCTCACAAAGTGATTGAATATTTCTTATTAGAAATAATGGGTATTTCCTTTATTCGCGAAGGCGAGTGATACATATATATGATATATATACGAGAAAAAGATCACGGATCTCTCTCTCTTTCTCTAACACTGTATATATTCTAAATTATATATTATTATAATCAGCTATGATTAAAGTGACTTCTTCGCTTCCCTTTCCACGTCTATTTCTAGGAAAAACTAACGATGAGCAATGAAATCATAATCGATTCTCCAATTAACGCGTTCACGAAAACTAGTCGGGGTTAATTGGAGCACATTTCTGTAAAACATGTTTTTCTAATATTTATCCTAGACATTCCAAGAGTACTCCTCAAAGATAAGATTTCCCTA